TCACCATAACCTTGCAATTTTGTCACAGTATCAAAAACATTCAAAGCTCATCAACAACGGACACGACACTGGACAAAAACAAAGTTCATCATCAAAAAAAATGAGACAGGAACTACATCAGGTTTGTTTGGCTCTAACCATAGGTGACTTGCCTCTTTGCAGTGTAAGACTGATGTGGATACTGCTTGGAATTCAATAGTGTTGCGCAGTCCCTGAATCCGAAATTAAAGAATTAAATAATTAAAAGAAAAAATCCATTTGAATAAATTAATAATTGTAAAGTTTAATCCAAAATTAAAACTACCGCCCAAAATGCCTTGGAAATTTCCTACCACTTTCAAAGTATTACGAGCACTTTAAAAAAACTGTACCATTAACAGGCTATTGAAAATGATTAAGCGATTAAAAAACTTGTTGTTGTGGGCTGATGCAACGAACACCATCACAGAAACCAAAGGTTTCCCCCCATGAGTAATAAATTCTGCTAAGGCTTGAACCATTTCTCCATCGTTTAAGTATACATGTTGGAAATTATCTTATTTAGTTCTGAAGTGGAAAAGTGCAGCAAAAATTTTAACGAAGTCACTTGCGACGTGATTTATCCCATAGTCTCCCCATATTTCACGTAAGCCAAGGTGTCACACGGGAATCTATTACTGCCTGACAAAACACTGGTCCGTACAGTTTAATACAAAAATCTGCATAGTAGGATGAATTAGGAAATACTGCTTTATTCCATCTTTGGTCTCATATATTATAGAGTATATTAAAAACGCTGCAAATATATCCAATTTTACGTATTAATACATTTCTGCTATGACGAACCTCGCAGCCCAATGCAATGGCGTTGACTTCAGCTCTCCACCAATCGCATTCACCTCGGCGTGCTGCTGTATGTAGTACCTTAAAATAAGCAGATATCAGATTTGCTTGAAGTTTATCTTGCACATGAGGACCGTATACAACATTCTGTTAGGACGCGGATGATCATATTAAAAACTAGTATTACAATATCGTAAATATAGTATCTACAACTACACAACAAAAACGCAATTCAAAAACCACTCATTATTGTAAAGCGCAATGTACTGGATGATATACTAATTATACCATTACCGATGTTTCGATCTATATGTCAAGAGTCTTGTTTAAGGTTATATGTGGATGGCATTAACGATTGTTCGGATAGTCTGCAGCAGCACATTTGTTCGGCGAGAGACAGAGGTAGAGGCGTTGCTTGTTTACTAACTTAATGAACTACTTTCTCAATAGATCTCTCACTTAATTACTTACCGACCATTATTTATTGTTACTTGTTCATTTACTTACATCTTTACTCATGACTATTTCAGTCACCTAAGGGTTTATTTGAATCGGCACTTGCTTAGCAACCAAGACTTGCATTTGCAACTGCAACTTGCATTTTTACTTATCTGATTTCTTACCAATATACAGATAGTCAGCTCACCTACTCATAGTCAATTACGTGCTTAATAACTTACGCTTACTTTACTAACTCCACTCGATTGTTGATTGCCGCCCAGTGCAACAACGTGCAATCATCTCTGTCCCGTTTATTGACGTCAAATCCCTTCGACACCTGTTTTTTGCAATACTCAAAATCGCCATACTGCGTCGCAGTCACCATCTCTTCGACATCGGCGTCGCTCGGATGATAGTCCATGCCGCAGTTAACCAGACCTCGTAACTGCCTTAAATGAACGCTTTAACTTAACGTTCATGTACAAAACATATGGACTGACTTACTAGATCAGCTGTAGTCATCGATTTTCTGCTTCCATCAGTGTCATCGGTGGATAACGGGGAGGCGACTAGAACACCAAATTTCCCCCATTTCCCGTATTCTTTGAAAAACTACAAAGCCATTTAATAGAGGAGCAACTTGAAACATCTTTGAAGAGCAAAAGTTTTCTATCTTCTGATAATGAAAAACGTGTACTTTTTTTCTGAATAACATCGTTAAAAACCGGAATGGAAGTCGTGCTAGGACAAACGGGAGTATCTTAGGATTTTATGCCTTATGTTAATGAATCAATGAACAAACATCAGAAAAATGAGACGTTACAGAGAATTCAAAAAATTCGATGAAAGGTCTTTCAATCAACAAACAGAACCTGGATAAACATGACGTGTAGGGGGATTCAGTGGTTCTTATTTAATGACACACTGGAACGAATTTGCGTCATTATTTTAAACACTGCTAGTATATACAGGATATGGCAAATAGCCATTTGCGAAGATCGAATGAAATCGCAAGCACGAACAAAAATAGTCGCCCGACCAGCTCAAGTCAGACCACAGGGGACGGCACCATACGACTGACGAATGACCAACTGATTTCAGCAGTAATGAACTGGTACGCAAAGAGCCCAACTTGAAGGCCTCTGCTCAGAGGGAAAAATGATCCAAAAGAAAGATATGGAAGCCTGTGGCAACAAATCGTACGAGACCGACGAATACGGGCATCGAGAAACAATTATCCGCGTTATTTACGAAGAATTGTCAATGAGCTGCCGTCGTTGTCAGCTTGGAGGACTTGAATTGGCAAAGGCTGATTCCTTGAACGAACCGAAACAGAATCCCATTCTCCATGAGGCTAAGCCGATGGCATGTAGATGATAGGAGGGGCAAGGGAGTTCATATCAGCATAACCTCATAGTCTCTTTACGAATAAATAATGCAACAGAAAACAAAAAACAAAAGAAGTAAAAATGATACGGACAAAGGACGATCATACAAAACTTGAAGCAGCAGCATTCACTCGGCATTCAAAACAACGGGGTTGCATTTGTAGTTTTGCATTTATGTTTCATCGTAATTTTTTGAAGTATTATGAAGCATTTCGGAAAGAAAAAAACTCATTGGTCTTCAAGATAATGCTGATCTTAGAAAAACATCTTCAAATATCTCGTTCATAATCCATCATAGTCGTCGTAATTCCTCGCATAAGATGCTGAAACAGTGTCTCACATCCCACGTATCGAGCAGTCCCTTGGTGCTCATGAGTGAAAATTACACGCGTAAGCTGAACTTTCTTTACAGCTGCCACAAATTCAGTAACCTCAACAGAGGCAGTGCAAAAATAGTTGTTTTCCAAGAGAAAGAATTTTTTATTTACTTGCTGGACATATCAATGAAGTAAATTACACTCGCAAGTCAAGTCGGATCCTCCAAGGCACAAAATCGGAGGACAGAACTACAGCACAAAGGACCAGGAAAACGCAAATTTGACAAACCACTGGTACACAGCAAAATAAGTCTGTGAAAGTAGGATCATCACTAGCAAGCCTTGTATGAGAAAAACAGAAAACAACCTACAAGTCTTACAATAACTTCGAATACTGCACTTACTCTACATGTATTCTGTTATGAGGAAGAACATAGGCCGACGAAGAAAGTTATACTAAAAACTTTAGCGTATTTCGTACTTCTTTCTTTTTTCTATTTTGTTATCGTCATTTAAAACTAAACAAAGCCTGAACGACGAAATAGCTTATGCACAATGACTAACAGTGTGAAACGGCATTTCACAGAAATATTAGGCAACGTTTACTGTTCAGACAATAACAATAATATTCCGCTGCTTACATATATTGTTTTTAGAACTGGCATTTTGGTTTAGTGCGCCCACTATTGTATTCCATGTAACAGATAAAAGAAGAAGACTCAGAGGATAATTAACTAATTAACTCATTTAGAAATGAAGCCAATCGAATACTATAAACCAAAAGCGATCGCAGAGAATCTAGGAAAGTGATGTACGCGAGTGCTTCCAGTTATCCCTTTCAATGGCAAATAAATAACTGATTTTCAACCGTCGAAGAACTCTCATTTTCAAACCATCGAACCTAAGAACTACACTATTAAATCTAACAATATAATTCTAGTACCAGAGATAGAACTTAATCCTTAAATGTTCTCTGTCAGACAGAAACGAACTTAAAACAATTTCTTAATTATCCAAAAGAAGGTGGCGTTTGGACCAGAAGATAAACAACAGTTGCGGACCAAGATCACTCTGAAGAAGGCTCGTAAGAGACCAGCCGAAAGGTCCGTATTGGTCAATCACCCGACTGATAAATTTATTCGTTTACTTTGTGTAGGAGTAAACCGTTTTAACGCATTTTTCAGTTTTCATTATGAACACTAACTCACGAATAAATTATTCTTAAGTCTACTTTTTCAGATCCACGAATCAAACAGTTTTACTAGCTTGAACACATAATTTTCGCAGGTTACATGAGAACAACGTCTAGGTTTTATGATATCTGCTGTACATTCGTAGATGTACAACACTTTAACCATAAAGTACAGCTTGCTCCATCGCAAAAGCAAATATTTCTCTCCGAAAGCAGATCTCTCCCTACCTTATTGCTCCATCTTTCATGCTGATCTCCCGTGTTTCGAATCTCAGACGAGAAGCTCGTGGGCTGGAGTATATAGTTTATGCTCAACCACTTTCTTTAGCTGGGCCGACCTCCATTTCTTACTCCACATCTAAATAGCATAACGTAAAATAAAACTCGGCACTACTACTACATAATATAGCGACCGCAGAAGGAAATCTAAGGAAGATGAAAAAGCTTCTATTACGAAACAGAAAAACTGATCTTTCAGACAGCCATCGTAGGCATGAAACGATGACTCAACAGTAAACAAAGTTACTTGCGTAACATATCATAAGCCGAAACCTTTAAATTCTGCGTTAATATAATTTTGATTAAATCGCCCACGGACTACTCTCTGAATGAAATTACAAACTGCTGAAAGTTAATAAATAATCAACATTTGATGCTGCAGAGAACGGCTTTACCAAAAACAAGAGTCGCACAATTTTAATAGAAAGTTCATTATGGTTCCATCATATGCTACAGAATATTTAATATATAAATTTTTCTTTTCTTCTATTCCTTTAAAGGCACACTAAGATTATGTCCATCAAAAATACACAATATAATCTTTGAAAACTTACGCATCGGCGCGTCTAACACAGCACAAAAGGTTCGATCGTCAAGTTACTATTGACCTCATACGGTATACTAGTTGTTTACTTGTTCCTGACAGTTATTGCACCAACTAGACAATGACCTGCGAAGAAAAATCCAGTTCGATCTGAAACGCTAACACTTTGCGTAATAAACTTTTACGTAAAACACACTTTTGTAGACTTTGATAAAGAAGCGCTTACATTTTTATTTGACTTAGATTTCAGACAATCTCTTATTGCATTTGTAACGCACCGTGACAGACATCAGATAGCAAGTTTAGTATATGTGGGCATGTCCGCATAGCAGAATTGTGTTTACTCTTTGTACCTTACTGACTATACTTCCATCCTGGCTAGTGAAACTGAAACGTAATATCGTCAATTTTCGTCTTGAACTAATGAATTGTTGACGAGAAAGTTCGATGTGAATATAAACTTCTAGTATTGAAAAAGAAACAGTTTCTATCTCCGATACTCCTGCAATTAATGCATTTATGAATAGATTTAATCATGGATAATTCTGAATATTTAAGAAAATTAGGCAATTGAAGTTGCCGAAATCCTGAATTAATTTATAAAAGTCTTTTTCCGTTATTGAAATGAAATGGAAACAATATATAACTTCACGGTTTATGGAAAGGACACGCAACCAAGTCAACTATGGCAGATAAACTACAAAATTCGGATAATATTCATTATATACTGCTTTCCAATAAACTGTGTTTCTAAAAATTCTCCTTCGTCTATAAATCGATTAATTGTTTCCCATCCTCCTCTGCATGGATAAGTTAAACACTTTCATGGTTGTTGTTTCGATTATATTTAGGTTCGTCTACGCTGTTTCTTCTATGCTACGGTATGCTTCTGGAACGACATTTGTTTAAGTTTGCAGATTCTGATTCAACGACGATGTTTTTGGATTGATTGTCAATGTAGCATGCAAACATTGATTTATGAGATAAATGCTTACATCTATGGGGAGCGCATTTTCAAATCTGAGTTCGTTTTAGTCTGGCTTACTTATCTGGCTAGATTGTATCACAAGCTCATTTTCATGAATGCCAATTTGTCATGCAGGCTTTGGCCTTGAATGATAGCTCTTTGAAAGTTTTGTGTCATTTCAATAATATGCAGCTGAGACTTCATTCTTTGCATTTATAGTGTAAATAATAAAAAACGATTAACATATAAGAATTCTTTCTAATGAAGGTTATATATTGTTTTGACCTTGGTCGAGAGGTTGATTGTTTATTAAATTAAACATCTTTTAATGCATTCTAGATACCATTTGAATCTATCTTTTTAATGTGGTTTGTCGATGAAACGAGTCTGTTCGCAGACAGTTGTTCAAGACAATAGGCGCTTCCATTTATGTCTTGATGAGCCACCTTATATTGTTGCAATGGTTTATTATTTGAGAGCATCTAAACGTTTGCCATAGACAGATTTCAATCAAGATCAGTCTGTCCGATATTTCACCAATAAACCAACATAAAAATTTCTAAAATCCTTCGTTGATAGCTTGCATTTGGATGAATTCCAGCTTGAACTTTGGACTCTAATCCTTGGATCAATCGATCGTGTGCATATTCAATGCAATATGCTGTTGCAACTGCAGAATTTAATGCACAAATCGATCCCTATAACATAAGTGATGAATCTGAAGAGAAACCGTCGTCGTGATTGGGAAGGTTCGTTCGTGT